AAAAAAAAAAAAATATATATATATATATATATATATATATATATATATATATATATATATATATATATATATACATATATGAATTATTCACAATAAGATCAATATTTTTTATTTCATGCTGACTTTAAAGGGAAGAATTTAAAAAAGTAAGAGGGATTAGGGATGTTAAGAATATAACATGAATGTTTTTATTTAGAACAATGTGCACCAATCATGCACAATAAGAGTAGAAATGTGCAGTAAGAAAGATATTAGGGTTCATTTTGACTTTATCTCTTAGAAAAACAGTCAGTATTGGTAATGATTGACTTTCAGATGGCAGCCATCAAAGTCACAGAGTCTGTGTGCCAGAGCTTGTCTGTAATTTGGACTGTACCCAAACACCAAGGGGCCGAGGTGAAACCCAAAACCAACCGACATACAGTACACACTCCCACAGAGTAAACACTCTGCGCCTCCTCACACTCCATCCTTCTCTCTGCAGAGATCGTGGTTTCTACGAGTAACAGAAGACAGGAGAGAGGGATGCCCACACTGTTCCTCCTAACTGCATGTTCCCCTGGCAACTATGAGCAAACTCCACCCAAACAACACCCTCACAATACAGATAACCTGGCGGAGGTCATACAGCCATCCCTCATATCAAACCAATAGCAAATATCGTCTTGTGCTTTGTGTAATATTTCTGTACTCTGTTTGTTTACATGAATATCCATTTCAATCTACTCAAAGCCATGAAGATGTAAAAATCTGATTAAAAAACATGTATATATGCTGCTGGATGCAAAACATATATAGCTTATCTATATCATGCAATTTATGAATCTCTAAGTTGGATATAAGAAAGCTGTTGGTGTAAGTGAAGATGAGCCGTGTTGTCCGTAGTGTGCATACGCTGAACCCTTCCTTTGTGATTGTGTTGTGGTAACACAAGAAAACAATATAGATCACAGTGTTACTTGATATTGTACATAGGTTCAAAAGATGATAATTTGATTTGTTTCATTTGTTTCAGTTTTATGTAGATTCGGTTTACAGTGTTAGAGCTGTTAATATATAGTATATCTATGTGAACTAGTGTTGCAGAAGCCAGCACATTGAGAACAACCTTGATCAGTTGATTGATAATCTGTGGTCTCTACATGAGTGTCTGTTGGTGTGTGTGTGTGTGTGTGTGTGTGTGTGTGTGTGTGTGTGTGTGTTTGATTGAGTGCATCAACAAATGGCTACAGATCAGCTTTAGAGTGAACTAATTTGTGTGGCTGTATTTATCTGTGTAAGTGTAGTGCGTGTAGATATTGTTTTTATGTTGTTTTAGGTATTTATTTTTTGCCTGCCCATTAATTTATGGTTTCTGTGACCAGTGTTCAATGTCCAGAGCTCTTTGATCTGTTATGACTATTGGAGATGTGCGGCCCAGATGCAAAATTGTGTTACTGCAATAAAAAAAGGCTCTCTCACAAAGAGTTCACTCCTTTTTGTGCTGTGAATATTAATTCCATTGCTGTGCTAGTGTAGCCACCTCATAGAGCTTTTGCTGTTTTAATAATACACTTTTTTAAATCTATAAATTAATTATTATTAATATAATAAATAACTAACATAATATTATTCAACACGATACTGATGTAAAATTAGCTTCTCCATTGCTTAGATCAGGGGTCTCCAAACTTGGTCCTGGAGGGCCGGTGTCCTGCAGAGTTTAGCTCCAACTTGCCTCAACACACCTGCCTGGAAGTTTCAAGTATACCTAGTAAGACTTCAATTAGCTGGATCAGGTGTGTTTGATTAGGGTTGGTGCTACACTCTGCAGGACACTGGCCCTCCAGGACCGAGCTTGGTGACCCCTGGCTTAGATCTTTGAGCTCAAAGTTTTATTCAGTCCATTCTATACCATGTGAGATGCTCTCCTAAATTGTTAATAAGTATATATTCATCTATCTAGTTTATTACACATCTTGCTTTAAAAAAAGTTTTGAAGGACATAAGTGACATGTTTATTTAGTAATGGAAAACAAATAAGCCAAATAATTTTGCTTTCTTTTCTCAGCTAATCTTCTCTTCCAAAAGAGCCCTTCTAAAACCACGTTGGAGGACCAGCAAAAACCGGCAAACTATCTTAGGCTAGTTTAAGCAGGGATGAGATAACAAAATACAGTACATGTCATCATTTCAGGCTTCCATGTTATAAGCCATACTTCTGTAGTGTAAATCTTGAATGTTCTTTAGTGTTTTAACCACATGTCAATCTTGCGTAATTAAAGACCAAAGTTGAGATTAAGAGTTAAGCATTGAGCATGTGAGAACAAGACCAAAGACGTGCACACAACGCACGCATCAGGTGAAACACTGCACTTCTGATATGTAGAAATATTATATTCTTTGTGTTTGTAGGTCTTTGAACCTCCATTAGAGTTTTCACAATAAATGAGCTCTTTTTAAAAGTGTGCTCATTATCTAAATGATATGCAGGATATGATAGTAATATGAGGAAATAAAGTCAGCCTTTAAAAGCATGAGCAATAATAAGTAAGAACATGAGGTGCAACAGGAAGATTACAACGAGCTGCTCTTAAAAGCACTGCACGTCTACTGCAGCAGAAAGAACAAGCATAATAACAAGCATTTCTTGAGATAATAAGTGGGTGTGATATCTGCAGCTGTCCATGTGCAAGAGATTCATCCTTCAGTAGAAGTGGAAGAAAGTGTTCTGAAAGGCTGTCCCTGATTTGATGTTGATGTTTACGTAATTCTATTTCACTTCAAGTACAAATGTGGGTGGAATCGTTTTCTTCAACATCTTTAACTGATAGATATAGTGACATTTTGACAGAAAACTGCAAAGTTATGAAGTCATGAAGTTGTACATTTTTTATTTTCAAAGTTACTCTCTGGAATGCTTGATTCTGATTGGTCAATTGCAACATTCAGCGGTCAGATGCAACTAAAATGCAACTAGTACCATCATATGTCTCAGTTTAATGATTGTAATGTGTCAATGACCTCAGAGGGCTTAAGCAGGCTATTTTTGCTGTAATATTGTAGCAGTGTTCATCTTGTTGCAACGCTGATTGTTTCACACATTCTAATGGACTATTTTTTCTAAAAAATTAATTATAAAAGAAAAAAGTTTGAAAAGCCTTAAATTAATTCAAATCCAGATCAACCTGTGGGAGTTTATTTTGCAATAAACCGTCTGACTACGAAACATTATTAGAACTCAACATAAAATTTGATAAATAAAAATACATAAATAATTTACATAATTTGTATTTTAATTTCTCACTGTTAAGAAGAGCAAGATTTGTGCAACCATAATCATAGTCCAATATTAACGTTAATGGAATCAAATCATCTTTTTGACGTGAATAAATGGAAATGGCCTTGTTAACAGTTCTGAAGCTGAATTGTAGATAACTTACAAACAGACACACACAGTCCTCTTCAGAAGTGCGTCTAACACTTTCATGTGCCTGTGCCCCTTGCCCTGCAGTGATGACTTTGATATGTGCTTTTATGGGATCAGTGGGAATAGGATTTCGCACAGTTATTATGACAGAGACCTCCCCATCTCTCTGATCCGCACTCCGCTCCTCTTCTTCTGCATAATCCCCACATGTTCTACTTCAGTCTTCATTTCCTTGCTGGTGGGAGGCCCAGAGAAACATGGGGAATGTTATCTTCAGCACCCAGTTCACCAGCAGATCAAATCAGATTTGTGAACTTCATTGTAATTCCAGTTGCTCACCTTGTGTTTGTCTGTGCAGTCAGATATTAAACTAGATAAATCTTTCCAGCTTATTTTTAATGTAAGAATGGGTGTAGCCATTTTGTAACTTGGATGAGCGAAGTTTCCGGTGTCATCCGCGTCCAGTTATTTGATCTGTACAAAAATAGTCCTTTATGCTGCTTGATATTGCAAACTGCAGGTTACCACGCTATTTGTTACAATAAAGCATGTCAACATATTCTGTTACACCAAATACACAAAATAATGATCTTTAAAAAAGCATCATCTGACCCCTTTAAAGGGGTCAGATGATGCGATATCAATTCTTCCTTTCTCTTCGGAGTGTTACAAGTTCTTGGTGCATAAAGAAGATCTGTAAAGTTGCAAAGACTAAAGTCTCAAATCCAAAGAGATATTCTTTATAAAAGTTAAGAGTCAGCCACGCTTACCTAAAATGGCTCGTTCTAACACGCCCCCACATATCTATGTCACTATCTGGGAAGATTTGCATAACGCCGCCCAAATGTTCACGCAAAGAAAGAAGGCGTAACTTTTATTCTAGCTGTAGTATTGTTGCCGCCGCCGCCATGTTGTGGAGACGCGGTGTGCTTTGTTGTGAAAGCGAAACTACTTTGTTTGGCCTTCCAAAAGAGGATGATATTGCTTCGTCATGCCTGGAGCTGATCCGTGCTGGTCGTTGAGGAAATACATCAACTTCGCGCTGTGGATAGCCGGATCGGCTTTCACCGTGGACGAAGCAGAGTCCAGCCCGGGGTCGTCACATGTGGTTGCCACAGGCATCACAATATGGTAAGGTGTCAGGGTCCCACCCTGACAGTCATGTCTGTTCTGTCTTTGTTTAACGTTTCCTTGTTTGTCTTGTGTCTGAGCACATGGCTTTGTCTTTATTTATGTTGGCCATGTGCTCCTCTCGTCATGCCCCCTTGTTTCCCTCTACCACGCCCCCTTGTTTAGTCCTAGTCTAGTCCTCGTTAACTTGATTGTGTCCACCTGTTCCTCATGTGTTCTGCTCCTTTATAGTGTGCCTCTTCCCTCATGTTTCTGCTGGTTCGTTGCGTTAGTTCACTGCGTGTAAGATAATTCCTTATCAGTCTACTGGTCATATTAGTAGTGTTATATTTTACACTCCTAATCAGTCTAGCTTTGCATTTAGTTCTCTTGAAGTTAATTAGGATTTCTTTGCTTTTTGTTATTTTGCTCTAGTCTAGTTCCTGTCTTTGTTTGCTCTAGTTTTCTCAAGCCTCTAGTTTGGTTTCTTTCTTTATTTTGATTTTGTCTTTGCCCAGTTTTTATCCTAGTTATCGATTTTCTAGAATTTGCCTTTTGGTTCTTTTATTTCATTTGCTCTCTGCAGTTTGTATTTGTTTCTCTTTTCTTTTCATTCTAGTCATAGTGCGTAGTCAGTGTGTTATTTTGCTGCTGCTTGTTCTCTCTTGTGGTCTTGTCTTGTGTTTGTTCCTGTTCTGTGTCCTGAATCCCTTCTGGCTGCTGTTCTCAAGACCTGGCTATCTGACTGGACTGGTATCACTACAGCTCAAAGTATCAAGCCCTGGTTTCTCAAGCTGCTGCCTGATATCCAGTGTTCTCATTGACTGGTGCTGCTCTATCTCCTTTGTTCTCCAGCAGAACTTTGTCCAGGTCTGACCAAGGACCAGCAGACTGCCCTTTCCTACTGTTTGGACTCTCACATAAGCCCTGTTAATCCTTGCCTTGTCAATAAACCTCACTCCCTTGATCATTCTGCATCTGGGTCTCTCTCTCTATTAAACTGCTGTGACAAAACCCTGACAGTAAGGGACGTAACATTTCCGTCACACGCTTGAGGAATTCGGCCAATCACAACGCACTGGATAGCTGGCCAATCAGAGCACACCTCGCTTTTTCAGACTAAAATCGACGCGTTTCAGAAAGGCGGGGCATAGAGGAGAAACAATGATGTACAGTATGTGGAAAATAATGTGTTTTTTTTTTTTTTTAACCTTAAACCGCATAAACACATTTCATTACACCAAATAATGTTCTTTTTAGCAGCATCATATGATCCCTTTAATATCATAGTCATTGTATCTTTTTTTTTTTCTGAGAGCGTAGCAGCCAATGAATCGGAAGTCTCACACATTCACAGAAAATAGCTTACTTCCGCGTTGCAAAACAAAGTGGATTATCTACTATGTTTGCAGATTTATTAAAGACTTGACTGAGCTTTGGGCTCCAATGCAAATAACAGTCTAGGCTAATGCTATCAATATTTATTAAGCCTTGTTTGGGTTTTGTCGACTAATGAGGCTTGACGGCAATATTATTCATAAATGTCATGTTCCTTTATTTCTACAAGTTTTGCAGAACAGGTGACCAAGCAGAAAATGGTGTGTCGTGAACCTGTGTACTGTAAACTTCAGATAGCTGAGTGCCTGTATCATCTACTCAATAGAGAGGATTTCAGACACACATTACAGCTCCCTGATGTGCTAATTTTATAAATCTTTTCACCTATTAACGCTTAGAAATGAATGAAGACATGTACAGTATGTTGTGCATCATTCAGCCTTCATTCATTGTGGTTTAAAATGAGACGCATAGACATGCCTAATACAAACCCAGACATCTGAATCACTCATAATAATGAGTCATCATATTCTAGGCAGTAAGCACATTTGCAGCAGCACTTCAAATTATATGATACAGTTCAGATTGACTGACTGACATCCG